CCGAATGGCAATGGTTTGCCGCTTCACGGGAATCGCGAGGTCGGCATTCATCAGGATGTCCCAATCGGTCTCGAGAAAGAAACTCTCCAGCGACTCGCACTTCTGTTGGGCACGAGGGCCCTTGGCCACCAAATGGGTATCAGACACCGCGTTCGACAACGTCGTGGCTATGCTGAGAATCTGTGATTCAGTCCACGGGCCACTGTTCACTTCGGCTGTGACTTTGGTGGCGTCGTCCAGCGTCAGCCCCTGAGATGAAGAGATGGCTGAGATGATGGCGTTGGCCTGTGATGCCATTAAAGACTCCCGACTCACACCAGCCCCGACCTGCGCGTTGATGAAGTTCACGCGCTGCTTGATGCTGAGGATGAGGCGATCGATTGCGCTGACTGGCTCCATGGTGCCTTGATGCACTACCCAGTGGCGTCGTGGGGCGATGTGTGACGCCTGGTAGGATAAGCCAAAACGGCTACGGATTGTGTCCCGATTGGTCGGGCACGCACCTCATTACTCTCCAGTAGACAGACAAGCAGCCAAAACTCGGCACGATTGACTGGTCGATAACCGTAAGAGGAGGAGGGACCATGAGCACTCGTAGACGGCTTCAGGGGACGAGCATAGGGCTGACAAGGACGGCGCGAAGGTGGAGTTTTGGTCTTTGGAATGGTCAGGAGGAGGTGGAGTGGGCGTCTGGTAGGGGGGGAGGAGGAGGGTGGGCGTGGAGCGAGAAGCAGGTAGTCAGACTCCAGAACGCCTTCGGATCAAGCTCTCGATTGCTCCTGATACCATGCGGCTCAGATTGCTCGAAGTGCTCCTGAGCACTTCGGGCATCTCGCCCGAAGTGCTCCTGAGCACTTCGGGCAATTGCCCAACGTGCTGTCTGCTACTTCGAGCGACGCATCATCATAGTTTAGTTGAGAGTATCGATCACCTCTGCCCGAACTGTTCCCTGGGAGTTCGGTCATATGCCCGAAATGCCCACCAGCAGTTCGGGCATGGCGCCCGAAGTGCCCACACGAAGTTCGGGCATGGCGCCCGAAGTGCCCACCAGCAGTTCGAGCAATCGCTGCCGAAACTCAAATGCTATCGATCTCGCTGTCGACTTGGTCAGTGACTGTCTACGCTGCATGCTAAATCTAGCAAGTGTTCATCTTCTTTCTCGTTCCGCTACCTCCCTCATCTGTCCTCGTCCTCCCTCCTCTTCCCTCACCTTCCCTCCTCTATCCTCCTTCTGCTCCACTCCTCCCCCCTCCTCCTCCTCGCCCTGGCTCACGCAAGATTGACCCCACGATGGCAAATAGCTGAGACGGTTGAACGCGCGCGCACCCCAGCGCACGGGAGAATTCAATCGGTTGGGAATTAGATAGACCACAGCAATGCGTGGTCGCCTAAACGGCTCAAGCCAAACTTCGCTGTGCGTTGGCACAGCTAAAGCTCTCGCGACCCCCCTGCACACATGCCCATTTCTCAGCTCTCGGCGGCCGACCCCTCGGCATCGCTGGGAGCCTGATTTTGGTCTGGGTCTGCGTGGTGTTGGTTACGGAACTCCACCAGCACTTTCGCCATCATCTCGACGCGGTCCTGGAGGTCATTCCCAGGCGCCAAGCGCATAGATTTCATCCTCCATTTCTGCTTGACCGCGTCGTAGTACGTGGTCACGACAGCCGAGCGGTGCCGCATCCAGCTCACATTCTCGTCGTGAACGACTGGCTCGAAGTTAGGTTCGGGAAGCATCTTCGGCTTCAGGGTGAGAAGGAGCAGTGCGACTGGCGCGCACTCTATCCATAACTTTGCTCGACCATTGGCTGACGGCAGCACCTTGACGGTGTAGTGGGTGCCGTTCGAGTCAGCCACGTGCACAGTGATCACGCTCGCAATGTCATCGAGCATCTCTTTCCGAGGCCTCTTAGGGAGTTGTTCGATAACCTCCTGGTCCACAAGGTCGTCGCCATCTGCCAGCAGCCCGCACATCAAACGCTCTGTCTCAACGTTGCGAGCGGTGGTAAGAGTATTGATCATGGAGAAATCGTTCGACACATACTTCTTCAGCTTGTGGTCTAACTTGTCAACTGCAATGAACGCATACCCGTCAACCTGTTTGGTGTGCCCAATCCAAGCGCCAGCGATGGAGGACGTGTTGTTGTCGCGGCTGACTGCGCACACATTGCGATTGATGAATGCCATCGTGGAGCAGTGCGAAGTTCCAAACCTTCGGTGAGAGCAATGCAATACTTTGAACCTAAATGGCTACGGACATGCCAACAAGTTTCACCGTCGCCCCATGGCGTTCGTTCCGTTGCTCCGTGGGCAGAGACAGCTGCATGATGCTGAATGTACCGAGGCTGGCCTCGGACTGGCCAACTTCCAAGTGTGAGTGTCTCTCGAGGTCCTCCTCTTCCTCGTCCTCCTGCTCCTCAGCTCCATCCTCTTCTCCTGCTGCGTCTCCTCCTCCTCCTCATCATCCTATATGTGCTTCTCTCTGCAACCCAGGGATGGCCGACGCATTTGAGAAATCGGGGGTCTGAGCCCGATGCTGTGGCACATATCGCTCATATACTTCGGTGTTCCAATTTGGGGGTCCCCGATGCGTGCCTCTGGGAGGCTCGTCGTTTTTTTTCGCGCGCATGGTGTTGCAACTGAAGTTGGGATGTTGCACAGCGCACGTGGCCCTCGACTCGACTGCACAAAACCTGCAGCGGCAATCGTCACGAGTCTGGCCACCGTCTAAGCTTGAGCAGAGAGATGCTTTGCAAGCAAAACGCACATGACCGTCAAGTGGGAAAGACGATCGAGATTGAGCAAACAGCACCCTCACGGCCTTTGGTTGCGAGGGTGGTTCGAACGAAGCGGGCATTCGCACCTCACCATGCCACCGAACAGTCATTGCTCGGCTCTCATCCTCATCAGCCCTCTTCTGCCTCCTCCCCCTGATCCTCCTGCTCCTCCCCTTCTTCATCCTTCTCCTCGTCTTCGTCTTCCTCCTTCTCCTCCTCCACCTCCTCCTCCACCTCCTCCTCCTCCTCCTCCTTCTTCCCGTGCTCTACCCTGCCCCCCATCGGGCGGCGAAGAGCGGCCAGGGAGCGAAATTGCACTCGAGTCGTTGCTGACAGTGGCTGTACTTACGTGATCACGTTGCTCACATCGCCCCCCCTCGCAGTTCCACCAGGTTTCGAGCGCTCCCAACCGCGATTACAATCGACCCCCCCCCCCCTCCCCCCCCCCCCCCCCCCCCATTGGAAAAAAAGGTGGCAGACGAGCAACAGTTCAAGACCTCACCGCGTTGTTCATCTAACCCCTCTCCCTCCTCATTATTCGCAGTATTTCTTCTCCACATTCGCCTGAGCTTTCGTCGAAATATGTTCTCCTCCTCATCCTTCTCCTCCTCCTCCAGCTTCTTCTCCTCCTCCTTCGCATTCTCCTCCTCCTTCTCCTCCTCTCCACTCCTGCTCATCCTCATCTTCCTCCTCCTCCTCCTCCTGCTCCTCCTCAGTATCAGCCACTGCCAACTGTCGGAGCTCACGAGCTCTTCCTCTTTTTAGAGGCGGGGGCAGCGCTGCTGCTGCTAGCCGCTTTGGACTTCAGTGCAGACTGCAGGAGCGGCTCACCAGCCTTGATCTGCTTACAGTTCTGGAGCACAGGGATGTTGAGGGCGATCTCATCACGGTCCTCTGACGACGGGCCTGACGAGACCTTGGTGCTCTTCGAAGCCTTCACCATGTTCGCCTCCGTGCTGTCGGTGGCCGTTGGCACCAACCAAAATGGTACAAGGTAGCCTCGCTTGCCCTGAGCTGGGTATTCAGTTTTCGGGGACAGGTAGATGAAGGACAACTTGGGCGGTTCTCCTAGCATATGAAGTTGCACTGCCTGGTTGGGAAGCTTCACCCCACAGTTCAGGCTCGGAGTCATTGGGACAAGAACAAGCTCGCCCTTTCCAAATCACGTGAAGAGTTCATCGTTTCGACAGGGCCCTTACCGTCCTCGGCAACCGTGAGCGCAAGAGAAGACGGGGGCACGCGCCAGCGGTCCCAAGCCGAGGCCAAGGCAACTTTGCACTTGGCCTTGAGCAGCTCCGCGGGAGCGTCGCCAAAGTCCTGCGGGCGGGCGCGCGGCGGTGACGGACAGGAACGAACAGGAGGACAGGAACACGAAGAGGAGGACAAGGAGGACGAGCTCACAGGAGGAGGAGGAGGAGGATGAGGAGGAGGAGGGGGAGGGAGGAGGAAGGGGATGGGGAGGATGGGAAGGTAAGGAGGAGGAGGAAGAGGAGGAGGGGGGAGGAGGAGGAGGAGGGAGGAGGAGGAGGATGCTCCTCCTCCTCCTCCTCCTCCTGCTTCTCCTCCTCCTCCTCATCATCGTCATCCTGCGTTTCGTCCTCATCTCTCCCCCCCTGCCCTCTTCCCTCTTCTCGTTCTCAGTCCGGACTCGTCCCGTCCATCCTTCTCCTCTCCCCCCTCCTCCTCCTTCCTTCCGTGTCCTGCTGCTGCTGCTGTCGCTGCTCCTCCTCCCCCTCTTCCTCCGCCTCCCCCTCCTCCTCCCCATCCTCAATCTCCAGAATGCGCGCGGTGTTGCACGCGTCGCCGATGATGAAACCCAGCGATGTTGAACGCGGGCAGGGCTGGGAGCGTTCTCATTTCTATGCCACCCACTCTTTCGCCAAATCTCCCCCTCCTGCATACCATTCAACGTACTCTGCATTATAACCCTCAATCCCACTTCCGTGGCAATTGTGGATCAAGTTTGGCTCGATGTTCTTCCTCCTCCTCCTCCTGTTTCTCCTCCCCCTCATCTTCCTCCACCTCCCCCCCTCCGATTCGAGATTCCTCCTCCTCCTTCCTCATCCTTCTACCTCATTCCTCCTCCTCTGTCCTCCTCCTTCTACCTCCTTCCTCCTCCTCTTTCCCCCTCCTTTCTCCTCGTTGCTATGCTACTCCTTCCTACTCTTCGTCCTCCTCCTAGCCGCCATGCGATAGATAGAAAAATGTGTCCTTGAATTCGTCAGCCAACTTCGCATACGTGATCGCGTGGGGCTTCTTGGCCTCGTGGCGGCCATCGATCTCGAACGTCACCCTCCCGTCGTCAATCGATGCGATGGTGAGCGCATTCGAGGCGTCTGTTTTCATGGTGACGTCCTGGCCAACTTCGAAACCCAGCTGAGCAAGTGCTGCCTTGTCGAGGCCACCGCCACCGCCGCTGAACTGCACGATCTCCTGCTTCTTTGTCTTGCCGTCATCCTTGGGGGACCTGGCGACGCAGTCCCACGGCAGATCGCCAGACGACTTCAAGTCAGGGGCTGCTGCGAAGACGTCTTCGAGAAAGGCCATGGCAATATCCCCGATGCCCTTGAAGGTCGCCCTGCCAGGCGCCTTCTTGCCATGCACGTGCATAACACATCTGATCTGGAAGTCCCCGACCAGCTTGGAGACCACGTGCTCCTCGAGCTGCGGTGCGCTCCCCTGCAGCCACTCGCGCCCTGTCTTGGCGTAGGACGCGGCCGACAAGCAATCTGCCTTCTTCTTGCCAACCACATCCGATGCGTCGGAAGACGTGAGAAGGCGGCTCACTCCACCCCTGACGAACGCATCTGGAGATGCGACCATTGCTTTGAGCATTCCGATGATGCACTCAGGTCCTTGCTTAAAGGGGATTGCCGACAGCATTTTGAAGCTCCTGCCATCGACATCCTTCGAGGTCTTCAACGTCTTGGCCCACTTCTCGAGGTCCTGCAGGTATATTGGAGGTGTTCCTCCAGAGTATTCTGCCACTAAGTCGCACATTCCGCGGACGTGGCCCTGCAAGTGCGGAGAGTTCTTCTCCACGGCAGCCGTGACCTCTGGAGGGAGATGAACGATACGTAATTGGTATGGTCGGGTTCCTGGGGATCCTCATGAAGAATTTTCAAACAATGTTATGTTGTACGTTGTTGCGCTGACTATTCCCAGAGTTCGGTTCCACAGGACCTTGTCCCAATCGTTCCCCATGAACTTTGCACGCGAGTGGATGCGAAGGAGGGTTTGTATCTTGGAGAACAGCTGCTGCGTTCCGTGGCCCGCGTTTCCCGGCTCTTGCAGGAAGTGCGGCAACAGTGGGCAGGCTGTCGCAACCTCATGGCGGATGATGGTCCAGTCCATGCCGTTGTCGACGGGTTCCAAGTAGCTCGGTGCGAGGTCGTACACTCTGTCTCGAGATACTCGCCCGTCTGTGCTGATAGCATCTTGCAACGACTTCGAGCCGAACCTGTGCAGAAACAGCCACACCCTCCACCCGTGAAGTTTTGCTGGCCCTTCCCCCGAGAGTTGGTCTATTGGGGGAGGGCGTATCTTGGGGAAGGGCGGTGTGTGTTTCTGCGCCTGCACTTGACGCAACGGATGCCAGCGATGGTGTGGCTGGACGTCACGCTCAGAAACCTAAGCATGTTCTTGTCAGTCCACGGGGCTAGATAACCATCAGCAGATTCTGCAAGGGCAACGTTGAATCGGTATTGTTCATCTCCCTCCTCGCCAGGAGGCAGCTCGAAGGCCCAAGCATTACGAACCTCTTCCCATACCCAACCCTGGTTGCATATGAGCAAGATCAACTGATGCACTTTCTCTACGTCGAGGCCAGTGCCATCCCTATTCTGATTGTGGGTCCCCACGTTCACGCACTGGCAGCGGTTGACGTAAGCGAGACCCGACGACACCAACATCTTCACAATGCGCTCAGCAGCGCTGCGGATCTGCTTGGCCTCCCCTCCCATATGGGCATGGATGATCCCATTGATCTGTTCTGACATCTCAGGCATCATCGCGAACCTCACGGGAGACGTCGCCACAAAGATAGGCCGAATGCTCGGGCAAGAACGGCTGCGACTGAGAGAGGCCCGAGAGGGGGTGACTCCGAACGGCCGTCTTGGATTCCATCTTGGACCTATCTTGTTTGCTATCCTGATTCCTATCCTGGTTCCTATCCTGGTTAAGGGCTGGTTATGCATTCAGCTTCGCAGGGTTATAACCTACATGCGTAAGTGTGCGATGTACTTGATAAGTGTGCGTATGCCAGTTACCAAAAAACCTATATCCTCTTCTGAACCTCTCTCGGCAGATTTGACACTTTCGGGGATGGACAGAACCCCCTTTAGTAAAACGTGGTTTAGTGAAAACGACCTGAGGCCCAAACTTGGCGGGCGCAAGCCTGGAAAATAACGGCCACGGCGCCCACTCGAAAACCGAAAACGGACAATTCACTAATCGACGTGTCACTATTGGGGGTTCTGTCCACCCCCGACACTTACATAAACAACGCTATCATGATACGGTGTAGTGTAACATAGATACAACGAATATAACTCGGTTGCTTATGTTATATCTTGTTTATAACCTACATGTATGTGGGTTGTATGTGGATCTAACTTCAGCAACCAGATCAGAAACAGCCCATCGATCCCAGCAGAAGAGCCCAGAGCGGCCTCCGGCACCGTGTCCGGACAGATCCGGTGGACCCGGTGGATCCGGTGGATCCGCCGACGAATCCCAAACCGGCGCCCTCGCTTGAGACATCCTCACAAAACCGGCCCCGGGGGAGGTGCCCAGAGGAGCCCAGAGCGGCCTCCGGCACCGTTTCCGGACAGATCCGGTGGATCCGCCGACGAATCCCGAACCGGCGCCCTCGCTTGAGACATCCTCACAAAACCGGCCCCGGGGGAGGTGCCCAGAGGAGCCCAGAGCGGCCTCCGGCACCGTTTCCGGACAGATCCGCTGGATCCGGGATCCGCTGGATCCGGTGACGAATCCCAAACCGGCGCCCTCGCTTGAGACATCCTCACAAAACCGGCCCCGGGGGAGGTGCCCAGAGGAGCCCAGAGCGGCCTCCGGCACCGTTTCCGGACAGATCCGGTGGATCCGGTGGATCCGACGAATCCCAAACCGGCGCCCTCGCTTGAGACATCCTCACAAACCGGCCCCGGGGGAGGTGCCCAGAGGAGCCCAGAGCGGCCTCCGGCACCGTTTCCGGACAGATCCGCTGGATCCGGTCCGCCGACGAATCCCAAACCGGCGCCCTCGCTTGAGACATCCTCACAAAACCGGCCCCGGGGGAGGTGCCCAGAGGAGCCCAGAGCGGCCTCCGGCACCGTTTTCGGACAGATCCGCTGGATCCGGTGGATCCGCCGACGAATCCCAAACCGGCGCCCTCGCTTGAGACATCCTCACAAAACTGGCCCCGGGGGAGGTGCCCAGAGGAGCCCAGAGCGGCCTCCGGCACCGTTTCCGGACAGATCCGCTGGATCCGGTGGATCCGCCACGAATCCCAAACCGGCGCCCTCGCTTGAGACATCCTCACAAAACCGGCCCCGGGGGAGGTGCCCAGAGGAGCCCAGAGCGGCCTCCGGCACCGTTTCCGGACAGATCCGGTGGATCCGGTGGATCCGCCGACGAATCCCAAACCGGCGCCCTCGCTTGAGACATCCTCACAAAACCGGCCCCGGGGGAGGTGCCCAGAGGAGCCCAGAGCGGCCTCCGGCACCGTTTCCGGACAGATCCGCTGGATCCGGTGGATCCGCCGACGAATCCCAAACCGGCGCCCTCGCTTGAGACATCCTCACAAAACCGGCCCCGGGGGAGGTGCCCAGAGGAGCCCAGAGCGGCCTCCGCACCGTTTCCGGACAGATCCGGTGGATCCGGTGATCCGCCGACGAATCCCAAACCGGCGCCCTCGCTTGAGACATCCTCACAAAACCGGCCCCGGGGGAGGTGCCCAGAGGAGCCCAGAGCGGCCTCCGGCACCGTTTCCGGACAGATCCGGTGGATCCGCTGGATCCGCCCGACGAATCCCAAACCGGCGCCCTCGCTTGAGACATCCTCACAAAACCGGCCCCGGGGGAGGTGCCCAGAGGAGCCCAGAGCGGCCTCCGGCACCGTTTCCGGACAGATCCGGACAGATCCGGTGGATCCGCGCCCCGGGGGAGGTGTCCAGAGGAGTAATGAGGAGGAGGAGGAGGAGGAGGAGGAGGAGGAGGAGGAGGAGGAGGAGGAGGAGGAGGAGGAGGAGAAGATGATGGAGCTGTGGGGTGGAGGAGGACAGACGGAGGCAAGAGAAGGAGGGAGGAGGGGGAGGAGGAGGAGGAGGAACCTCATCCTCACCCTCGCCAACAGGCGCACGCACCTTCTTCTATATACAGAAACTCCCGATCAACCGCAGAGCGGCCGGCTAGTATTCTGCGCTTTTGCACTCACGCCCTCTAGCCTCAACATGCTCGCGTGTGCCATCGCATCTGCGCTCGAGTCCCTCCGCAACAACAGAGGAGGTAGTAGCTATCGTCCAGGGCTTCTTCATGAAACTACCCTTGCTGTCCTGTAATCCATACGCACATCCACGCAACGCCGACTTAACAAACTCGAGTTCCCTCATGAAACCTTTTGCCTGAGGGTCTCTCCAGCAATTGCACTGGGCAGGCCACTCCAAGCAAACAACGCCCCCCGCTTTGCGCACAGCGCGTGCAATCTCACGGAAATCCCAAAACAGGTATCTGAAGTCAGTCCTAATACCACGAAGCCTACGCATCGCTCTATGATTTCCAGTACGAAGATAATGCGCTCCGTTCACAGATTGCCAGGGAGAGCCTCCCGTGCAAGGCATAGAACCCCACAGCGTAATATGTTTTCCCTCGAATGTTTTAATATCGTTCAAAGCTAGCCTGAGTCCCTCATCCGTCCTCATATCTTCCTTCTCAGTATATCGAATCACCTTGCACGAGTTATCGACGAAATTCTTTGGGTCTCCTATCCTGCTCTGAGGGCCACAACAGCATCCTAGCAAAAGCCTTTCCCCGGTCCACTGAGTGGCCGGGGCGCAATCTTCTCGGATCCAGAACTCTGTGTATCCAGTCCATCTACTCGGGCAATAAGTCGCCATCGCTGGAATCGCCATTCGAGTTATTTTCACATGGAAGATGGAATTTACTCTCTTTGTCACGCCAATTGCCGGTGCGGTCAACCGTCAAACCTTGTTGGGCATTAACGGCATAGGTGCGGCGCCTATCATCTAACTTTTCCGGGTCGACGGGACAATCACCGATCACGGGCGTAAACGCAACAAGACTCGGAACGGAATGCCATCGTTTCAAACTCTGCCCCTGTCGTGTCCATGCATCCTTTTTGCCTGGACAGCTGGCAGCCGCAGCAGGTGGAGGATGAGGAAAAAGAAGGTTGTGATTGGAAATATCTTCCATATTCTTCTGCAACATCGAAGTATCTGACTCATTTTCACTGTCCGTTATGTCAAACATTGTTTTCATTGCACGATCAGAACTGTTTTAAGTTATGTTCTCCATCGTTCTCGTTTTCTCTGAGCTTCTGCTGTAACCTTCTTCTGTAAGTATAGGAGTAGTGTCACCTGCATCCTCGGCTAAGCTGGACGCATCCGCAACCGCAGCTGCGCTGGGAGCGCATGCCTCCACGGTTTTGCTGGGGGCGGCCACAACGGGCACACCCTAGTTGGGGCGCGTTTTCTTTTTGTTCATCTTTTTGCTAGGTACAACAGCTCCTCTCCGCAAGGCCGAACTAGGGCCCAGGCGGGGCTTCATAATCCCCCCGGGTTGCAGGGGAAGTCCGTCTGAAAACATCGAGTCAAGATAGTCTCGGCACCGCTTAGCGTCCAGAACTTGGGCGTAACAACGTTGACAATATATAAAACTTTAACCCAGGGCAAAGGGTCAGTGAACCTTTTGGCTCCTATATCAGCAGCCTCGTTCTGAGTTTTTTCATACTGTAGCTCAACAAGGCCGCGAGAAAACTGTTCGGACACAGCTGCAGCATCAATCCTATGTGTTCTCGGTAGATGCATTAGTTTCATTGACCCGCCTGCCTTGATGACTTTGCAAACTGCTTGATTATCCTCAAAGAACAGACATCGCACTGGTCTGTCGAGCAGCATCTCCCAAAGCGGCAGTGCCGCTAGCAGTTCTTTGCGCAAAGCAAGGTCGGCAGCGACAATGTCTGTCTCAAGTGTACTGCGGGAAACGCATGTCCATCGTTGCGATCCCATAGACTGTCCAGCTCTAGTGCATGGGCCCCAAATGGCCTGATAACTGGCACTCGTGCTTCGATGTGTGCGAATGTCACTTGCCAGATCTGCATCAGAATATTGCCTTAACAGGACATCTTCCTTTTTGCCACCTACCGACGAAGTCATGCGGCAATAGGAGGTACATTTGATATAACATATGAGGCGGAAAAGATCCATGTCTTGTTGTTCTGTCCATTTTGCAATACAACTGGCAGTTTGACATACAGCACGGAGCAAGTCATATCTGGCCATTCTCGCGCCATAAAGTATTGTCATCAATACGTTTGCTGCAATAGGTTGAAGCACACCCGACTGTTTCGGTGGCTCGGGGTCATCAGGGCTTGCTACTGCGGCGTCAAGGCCGAGAACTTCTATCTTCTGATCAGAAAGGCCTGAATCAACATTGATTCGCAATGCTGACGCTATGGCCTCCTCAGCCAGGGAGTAAACCTTGCCTCTGGGGCCGCCTTGGCCATCCTCAAGGTCAGGAAGTTCAAGGCCAAACGGGGTTCCCGCAGCCGGGTAAGTAGATGGATCGGCGTCTGTCAATTGAGCATGTAATGTAACACAGGATTCAAAGAACTCTGTCATGTCATATTCTATGGCTTTGACTTGTTTCGATTCTCTCGGTTGACATGGCTCGGACGGATGAGCCGCCGAGTCACCCCTTGTTTCCTCCTCGCTACTCTCGTCTGTGACGGAAGCGTTTTTCTTGACCTTGGGATGAGGCGGGTCTAAGATTGT